CTGACTCAGTTGGCATTATACGGATCTTATACTCGGATTATATGCTCATACATTTATGTCTTTATTTTTTTGGTGCCACAGAATAATCATGCAAAAGCTGATCCGTGAAATACATACATGTATGTGAGTTCTCCTTGTTTGTTAAAAAAGTTAACTTTTTAACTTAGTTTTTTTAATTTAGTTAAAAAAAGGTTAGCTTGAAATTATGAAATACAATTAATTTATCTTTTAACTTTTCAATTACTTTTTTTCATTAACTTAATTTTTAATTCAATTAATGTCACCATGGATTAACTTTTATCTTAACTAACAAGGAGAACAGGTGACATCAGGTGACGGAGTCGGAGATTTTAATGCGCTTTTTACAAGTTCTTGAGCGAAAAAAAAAACAATACGTGTCTGGCCATTTCAGCCATAGTTTTGAAAAAATCGATTTTTTAAATAATTATTGTAACAATTTGAAATTACTAATGAAAGTATACGTATAAATGAAAATATCAGTATCTTTATAAATTTCATTTTAATTTAATGTTATTAGTTCTAATTATTTTTGATTATAATGAAATTTTATGAAATTACATATTAATTTTATAGATAATTAAACATTCATTAAGGAATATTTATTATTATCATTATTATCATCGTCGTTGCTATTCACATAAATAAGATGATATAAATTATAAAAATAAGAAAAATACATAAATATTTATTGCATTGTGAACATCTTACGAATGAATTTTAGAATGAATTTCATTTTAGAATGAAAAATTTGGTTCTCATCAAAATTGATTTCTGAAAGAAGCTATTTCCATAATATGTCAAATCTGCTTTTTGCCAGATATTAGGAAAAGTTATTGTGTCTGCAACAAAAATTTATTTGTAAGATGTTCATAATACAATAAATATTTGTTTTTCTTGTTTTTATGAATTATATCGTCCCGTACAATGTACGTCTACAAACATGATTAATTTTCGATATATATATATATATATAATTAATAAATCGATTAATATTAATCAAACGAAGATTATAAACGTATGACTTACTTGTTCCTAATCATAACTTCCAATTTCTAATTTCATCAGGAACTACAACAGTTTTCATTACAATCTTATTTATGCGTTCATGTGAATAGCAACAACGACGACGATAACGATGATAATAATAAATATTCCATAAATGAGTGTATATTATCTATGTGTATTAATACGTAATTTCATGAATTCCATTACAATCAAAAAGTAATTAAAACTAATAACATAAAGTTAAAATAAAATTAAAGATGTTGATATTTTCATTATTACAGTATGTTTTTTAAATTATTACGATAATTATTTAAAAAATCGATTTCTTCAATACTATATGCTAATGGCTGAAACGGCCAGACACATATCGTTTTTTTTTCACTCAAAAATAGCCTATAAAAAGTCTCGCATTAAAATCCCCGACCCTGTCACATGGTGTTCCCCTTGTAAGTTAAAATTTTAGGGCTGTTAACTTTAATTTAACATAATTAAAAAAAAATTAACTTATTTAATCCTGCAAATAATATATCTTGGCATGAAAATTCTTGTATAAAGTAATAAAGATTATCAACTAATTTTTTTTTCTATTTAAATATCTTAATATGTGTATATTTTATAACTTATTTCAGATTTTTGCACATTATATATGATATATAGATTTTGTACGCATTAAAATATTTACTGCACATCTAATTTTTTTTATATCTATATTAATATTTATATATATTTGTACTACATATAAGTAAAGAATGATATTATGTATTTTACATAGATATGTAAATATTCGGATAATATTGTAAATGAATGTTCAGAAAAGCAAGATATATATGTATAATGTACAATGAATGACATATTTCAGGGTATATTCGAAAAATATAACTTTTAAATTACAGATTCATCTTACAGAATTTTGGAGATTATCACCTTTGGTTATTCATTGAAAGTAAGTCCAGAACTATGTACATTTCATGGTAATAAACAATTAAGAATCAAATATTTTTAAAGTAACAAACATATATACAAGTATACATAAATACACACACACACACACACACACACACACATATAAAATGTATCTTTATATGCTATGGGGCATACAAGATATACATATTATTGTTTCGTTATTTATTGGATCATCTAAAAAGTATCCGCGGTTTTTTGTCACTAGATGTGTGTTGATGGTCATATATCTAGTGACAAAGTACCACGGATATTTTTTAGATGACCCAATATATCTCGATATTTTTTTTAAATATCGAGTTATTACAAACTTATTTAGCAACCTGCAAATGATCCTAAATAATGTATACAGGATGCCTCGAAATTCTCATGAATTAAAATACCACAGCCAAAAGTTTTCGAAAAATTAATTCAAAAAGTTATATGTATATTTTTATTTCAAGCAGTATTTTTAAGATATGTTTAAATATAGTCAACTAATTACAAATTATATGTATTTAGACGACCATCTGCCCATGAATCGCGCGTGCGATAATATTAGTAAATGCACACTTTAGCGTTTAAACATAGTCTGCTAAGCGTAATCCATAATTGACTATATTTAAACCCTTATTGTTTCACAAACTATTGCTTAAAAAATAAAAATTTGCAAATAACTTTGTTACTTAATTTTTTGAAAACTTATTGTATTTTGATTCGTGAATTTTGGGACACTGTATGTACATATACAGAACCTTCTAAAAGTCTAGAAACGTTAAAGTCGATCTTGAAAACGATCAACTCTATATACAAAATATGTAAGAAATTGTAGTTGCTATATAAAATGTACATATCTAATAGTAATAATTTAACTTTGGATGGAGTCCACAAGATCATATGTGAAGGTTAGAGAGATTGAATTTTTCAAATAGAACCCTTCATTTTTTATTGTATATTTTTGCTTATTTCAAAAGTTTCCCCAATTTACATATACAATTTTGTCAATTGATAGTATAATTAAAAAAAACTTTATGGAGGAAAAAAGAACTTGAAAATTGGAAAATTAATATATTTATGTGTTTGTTTAACGAGTCGTTCTAAGCAAGCTACTAGCTTCTTGCTAGTAGTAAAATTTACGAGAAATCGTAAAATATTTATGATCATATATACGCATAGAATTACAATATCTGTTATAAGTTTTGATGAGTTTTATGAGAACAAGTTACGAGTCTTATGATTCTTTAGAACTGACCCATAAGCTTGAATGATTTTTAACAACTTTGCATCATTGATATTGTCTCAATAGATAGAAAGAGATTATTAAAATAAATATGAAAGACACATTTTATTTTATTTTTTAAAAAGTACAAATGATTTTAATATTTTACGTATAAATTTTTCAGTCATTAAATTATTTTAAAGTTTTATTGAGTAGAATGTTACACATTTTTTATTTAATGATACGATATCGTCAAAAATTGTCATTTATCGCAGTTTCTCAATTTTTAACCTTGTATGTCATTGCCCATATTCATCAGTAAGCATGCTCTACGAAGCATCTGAAGATAAATTTAAGGAAGTCTATTCTATCTAAGTCTAAGACCACGTCTTATTTTTATTGGTTATAGAGTCTACAGAGCATCTGAAGCCTTAAATATAAGGCCTGACTATGAATACGGGCAGATGACTATTTAAATTAGATTTTTATTAAAAGTAATTAAAGAAAATATAATTTTCTGAAAATAATTTTTACATAGTAACTTATGTTCATAATTTGCGGTATAGTTTTTTTTTCAATCGCTCATTACTTTTAACCGAAAAAAATAAAAAACAGAATCTTATTACATCTATGCATACAAAATTAGGTAGAATAAAATGCATATGCAAAAGCAATATGATAAGTTTAGAAATATATTAATAGAATATAAAAATTTAATTAAGAATTTTTATGACAATAATAGAAATCTGATATTTACAATGTAATTTTTTGAAGCAATGCTACTCATTCATTAGATGATATATAATGATGGTGAAGTAAATATTTGTATCAAGCAAATTATATTATAACTAAGAATAAATTCGAGGACTAAAAAAAAATTCTGAATCATTAACAGTAACAAAAATGCAACTGTAATGTATGTAATGTTCATAAAATTATAAAAAAATAATCGAATGCATAAAAAAAATAAAACAACTTTTTAAACAATGATAAATGTTATGTAATCATCAGATAATATACAGTCCCGTAAGTTTACGAAATAAGTAATGTGAATAAATATAGAACTGAAAATACAGAATTCTTTTAAGAGTCGTAAAAATGAAAAATGCTTTCATATGTAATTCAGCTTATAATTGAAGTGCTACATCATCGCAATATACGATATACAAAGTGTCCCGTAAGTATTTTCAATTCTACATTTATTCACATTACTTATTTCGTTTTAGTTTTATAAGTGTAAGTTTTGTAAGTGTTTTTATTTTGTTTGACATCAGGTGAGTAATTAATAAGATCTTGCTTTTTTTATTTTCGATTATTGCTCAGGAAGGCCACGTTTGAATTAAGACATTTAATTTGTTCAAATAAATTGTTATAGTTAATAAACATAATTAATATAAAATTTGTATTATTACAAATTAATACAATCAATACAATTTCATATTAATACAAATTTAGTATTATACAACCAATTATGCAAACAATATAATTATGCATTTTTACAAGAAGTTGTTATTGCCCTTTCTTATCTCTCTTTGTCAATTGCGTATTTCAGAATCTGATAATCATTAATACTGTGTACACGCATACATACATACATATATTATACATACAAACGTACATATGGCTGCGTTCGGTTTGGACATTGAAGAAGTACTGAAAGCGTCTAAACCGAATGCAGCCCGTACGTATCTGCGCACGCACGTACGTATACCGTACATTATAGTATTACATATACACATAAAATATTTATCTATTATACATGTACACGCAATTGTGCACGTTATTTTCGTACAACACGAATTTTTCAAATCTTATACTCTTCTTTGAATTTCAATGTTTCTACATCCTCAGATTCTTCGTTTTCTGCAATCTTTTGAATCGGTGTAAGAAATACTAGCTATTGATCTGTCGCAGTCGTTGGAAGAGCGCTCGTATCCCCGTTGCCGCTTTCGACTATGAGCATCACGGTTTCGGCCGCACCCCTCACACATTCTATCTGGTGGCTACCCCAGTCTTTACGCTGGCAAAACGTGGAACAATACGGCGTACGTCTGCATAAAGAGCATTCTGCAAACGCTTCTCTATTACAGTTGGCACACTGAAATTTATTACATATATATATTTTTATTTTATACTTATAGTATTATATTTTATTTTTTATTGTACTCTTATATATTTATATTTAAGTTGCGTTATATATATTTAAGTTCCATTATTCATTGCAAATTCTGAAAATCTATAATACGCATAATTGAATTACGCGCGTGAATTATAGATTTTCAATACTCGCAGTAAATAATGAAATAGTCTTAATTATTTATTCTGCAAAACAGATAAAATAGATTCTTTATAACTAATAAATGTACAAAATATGCAATTTATAGAATAGATTTAGTCCACTTAATACTACAAATGCTCTTCGACGAAGCATTTTTTGATTGGTCAATTAGTAAAATTTTTTCTTCCGATTTAAAATCTTCAGTGTTACATGGATCGCACCTATAGACTCATGATGTCGAGTGTCCTGTTTAAAATGATATTAGTTGGAAGTAACTGAACAAATTTTAATAGACATATAGGAATTCACATAAATACATTTCATTACTTCGAGAGGTAAATCTACACACTAAACATAAGTAAAAAAAAATTCATATGAATATATGTCCTATATACTTCAATTTTCAAATTATATTATACACTCATTCCCCCAAAAAGCGATATATTAAAAATTTTGAAAAATATCAAATTTCAAATAATCATAACGTGGTAAGTAATGAAGATAAAAATATGTTTAAGAATGTAAAATAAAGTTTGAAATGTTTTCAAGAATATTTTAACGAGAATTATACTGGATCATTATTTTCAAAATGGTTAACAAAGTGAGTAACAAAATGAGAAAATGCAAAATTGATTAAACGTCCAAGTTTGGAATAGTGCAAGGCGTGAATTCGGTGTCGCAGCTTAATGCAACAACATGCATGTAAAAGTATAGAATTTTATCTTTAAATCGCTTTTTTACTGAGCTCGATACTAACTTTTCGCTGAGTTACTTTGAATGTAACATGCTCCGCTGTCATTAGCTCAAATTATGATTGTCATTCTTCCCAATATGAACTGTATGGAGTTTGACTGGTCACTGGGCTTTCCAATTGCAATATTCTTAGACACTTTTTTGCACACAGCGACACAAGTTGCGTTTCAATTGTCCATTATCGTAGACGCAACACATCTGTACTCAGTTGAGGGCTACTAAGTCGGCTGTGTAAGCTTGTATTTTCTAGTGACAATTACATGTTATCATCGACGAGATATTATTAAAGACCGATATCCTTACGGGAGTTCGCGTTAATTTTGAAGTGATTAAGAGTAAAAAACTGAATATTGTATTAATTTTGATTTATTAGTTTTGTGTGTTTATCGGTGTGTATATTTAAAACTCAATAATATTCTATTTTTCTTTAAAATTGTGATTTCAGTGTGTCGTCAAAGTTTAATTATCAACAGAGATGATAATTGCAAAGAAAAAAATTGTAATTTTTCGGCAATAGATAGATAGGATAGGAGTTTTGTGTGTTTATCGGTGTGTATATTTAAAACTCAATAATATTCTATTTTTCTTTCAAATTGTGATTTCAGTGTGTCGTCAAAGTTTAATTGTCAACAGAGATGATAATTGCAAAGAAAAAAATTGTAATTTTTCGGCAATAGATAGGATATTATAGTTTTACAAGTATGCATATTTATTTATAGAGCATTTATGTAATAAAAAATCATGAATTTAATAATGTATTAGCCAAATGTATTTATGTTAATAATTGCAATTTTTTTATCAATAGTCGATAATGTTAGGTCTTCAATTACCTCCGGGTTCTTTTTATACTCCCAAAAATTGCAAAGATTGATAATATCGTCTTTAATAATATCTCGTCGGTAATGTTACTAACCGCAACGGCTATAAATGAGGTTGGAGAACGTTGAGTGACCAGTACTTTTACTTTTTTTTATTTAATATAATTTAGACGGAAAAAGCTACATTTCTTTCAATCTAATTCTATCCGAAATGGAAACCATACACAATCTGTTCCAATTGAATCGTGCACTATGTTACACACCCAGCAAATGAGAATGGATTGCAAAATGGATTGAAATTTTTTTCTATCCGAATGCGTATTTTAAATAGCGAATACTTTTTTTTTGGATTTAATTCGATTCAATTAGATTCCTTCCTTCCTTCCTTCCTTCCTTCCTTCCTTCCTTCCTTCCTTCCTTCCTTCCTTCCTCCTTTCCTCCCTCCCTCCCTTCCTCCCCTCTCCCATATCCCCCCTCTCTCTCTCATTAAACAAATATTAAGAATGAAAAAGAATACATAGCATAAATACAATAGCATAAATAAAACAGTCATTTTAAACTCCTCCCCTCATGATTGTTTTAAACTGCTCTCTTACCGCATGGGAGAAAAAAAACCGTTAAAAACCGTAATTTTTTCGGTTTCGGTTTTCTTGAAACCAGTCAAGAAACCGGAACACTTATTCGACATTTTATTAAAAACTGTAACTGGAACTGAACTGAAAAAACCTTTCAGTCCAGATTCCTGATTTTTTTAAATACACTTTTGTCATGTTTATTTTTTTGTATATATACTTAACATAAATTGAAAATTATTTATTTTTTTAATATAATTTTTTGCCTTTGTTAGCTTTTAATGTAAGGAAATTTAATTTGAATTTGATTCATTTTCGAATCAAAAAGATTCGATTCGAAAAAAGTTCAAATTCGATTCGATTTAACTTCATAAACGTTTGATACGCTCTTTATGTGCTGTTGTTATAAAGAAAGTGAAACTATTTACTGTAATTATGTGTATTCCTTATAAACAAAAAAATTATATATAGATGTATCTAAAATATATTTTTTATTGTATTGAAATAAAACTACAAGAGATGATTATCTGTATTTCATACGTTTAATGAATTGATTGGCTCATCATATGGTATTAGCTTCGAAAAATATTATTATAAAGAAAGTGAAACTATTTATTATAATTATGTCATTCCTTATAAACTAATAAAAAAATTATATATAAATGTATCTAAAATATATTTTTTATTGTATTATTTTCTTTTGTAGACATATTGAAATAAAACAGAGTTGATTACTACAAGAGTTGATTATGTGTATCTCATACGTTTAATGAATTGATTGACTCATCATATGTTATTAGCTTGTTATCTTATCTTCTTTTCTCCTAATTGATAAATAAAAAATTAATAAATTAGACCGCTCTATATAAATCACCTAAATAAGAGACGCTAACTACGGTCAAACTAAGATGATGGAATAATATTTCTATTTTTATGTTACTTTTATTTTTTATTTTTTAAATATATTTATTCCATTTATCGTATTTTAAATAGAAAGAAATCTTTCAGATACAGGATCAACTGCGAAAACAATCGGCGCGCAATCATATATCTGAAATAAATATATTTAAAATACATATAGAAATATTATTCCAATATTTAATTTTATTATTTTTATGTGGCATCAATTTTTCAAATAAACTGTCGAAGGTCTAGAGAGTTCATATAGAAATTGTAACATCAATATTGAAAATTTGACTCACTTAACTTTATCTATACTTACAAGTTAGAGTTTGAACTCTTCTAATTACATTTATGAGGAAAGATATTTATAATACAGAGAATATAATAATGAAAATAGAATACAAATAAAAAATATTTTTTTCTATAAATGATTTTACTGTTTACCTTCTTGTTATGTGAATCGGATGCTGGTTGTAATCCAACAGTTTCGATGACATCTGCCCTTCCTCCAAGTTGCGCAACCAATGCCTGCTCCCTTCTCTGCTGCCTATTTAACTCCTTCGCTTCTTCCAAAATACGTCTAAATTCATAAGCCAACTTTATCATTTTGTTTGACATTTCATCCAATTTTTTAAAAACTTCATCGCTTTGACTGTTTTCTGTTTGATGCGCATTCTGCACCGTATCCTGTTCTTGGGGTTGCTGTACAACTAATCCATCCGTAGAAACAAATTGCGGCCAAACCTCTTTGTCAGGCACAACAACCTCGTCGCCACTATCATCGTTATTACTACCATCTCGTGAATTCTCGATTTTGTGCTTACGTGAGGGAGTCTCTCCATCTGATGAATCCTTAGGTCTTTTCCGACGTTTGTACGGAGTAAAAAGGCGAACTGGTCCTGTCTGAATTATATTAATTTAAATGGAAAATTTTATTTTATCATTAGAGATAAAAATGATTCAATTTGACAATAACTTATTCGGTAATTATAGTAAATTACTTGGTAATTTTTTGAGGCTGGTAAAATAGTAATTTTAAAAGAAAAGATTAGAAAAATAAAATAATTTGATATAAGAGTATTTAGTCATTAAGTTAAAAACGCTTTAACTTAATTTTTTGTTTTGATACTACATATTGATATAATAATTAGATAACTCACAACTGCAACCTGCCCCTTTGGGGCAGGGATGCCAAATTAGGGACAATTTACGACGGGAGTGGCGCAACACAGTTTAATTGCACACACTACTCACATCGGCCTGTTCCTAGTAATTTTTCACTGCTTCACTAATAAGTTATATTATTATTTTTAATTAGCCAATTAGTGATGTGGGCAATTGATATACATCCGTTTACGACATCGCGATCAACACTATCAGTCGGCGACCTAGCGCGACAAGTAGCCACACACTTAAAAGGAATGCTAGAGCGACGGCCAAACTTGATCGATGTCGATAAAATAGATTTTTAATTTCAAATAAAATATTACGTACACATCAAGAAAATATTACGTACATTAATTAAAACATTACGTACATTAAGCAAAATCATTAAGTAAAAGTTATGTACATTTCTTGTTTTGCTATATCCTATATGTCACATGAATGCGAGATTATGTACACTCAAATCGTACTTCTCAAGCCATTTCTCTATAAGCTTCAAAATCATAATAAAAGTCTATTCTTATAAATTATTCAAATATGGAAAAATACTTTTTGTTTAGATATTGTCTTGCATTTATTTATATATATATGTGAAGGAAGCGAACCTATATGGTAACAGAAAATTGTAATTTACAATTTTTGGAGATTTTTATACCGATTTGTACTTTCCAAAGGATATTTTTTTCTTTTATTCTGGAGGATTTTTTGTTCTGTATAAAGAAAATGAAATGGTTTGAGAAATACGAAATGACGTTCCATTGGTAACTCCAGCATCCCCTTAAGTATGAGTCGTCTATATGTCAAACAAACGTTTTGTTGATTAAATTATACAATATGTTTAGATTTAGTCAATAGCCCTGTTATTCTATCAGCGATTTTTATTAGGAACATTAAAAGAATGTTGTTTTATTTTATACATAAGTAGGGAAATACAGCCTATTTGTACATAAAACTATATAAAAGACAATAAATATAGCCAAAATTACTAAATTAATAAATTAGCATTTTACTATAATTTTACCGTAAGTAATCATAAAATTGAATTTGACGGTATTTTTACCTCTGTTTATCAATTTTATATCGAGTATAAGGATGTCTCAAAAATAGGGTAAGAGCGTTGGAGGCGTAGAATGGGAAACAAAAAGTTATACCATTTTGAGATATTCGCTGTAGTTTTCGAATTAAAAAGGGAAACGTCTAAGCCTAATGTGAAGTCGCGCCGCGAGAATTCGTAGCACGGCTCATCGCGCCTCACTCGACAATGGCGCTTCCTTTTTTCATTCGAAAACTACAGCGAATATCTCAAAATGGTATAAGACTTTTTGTTCTCCTTGATCCATTTTTAATCTGCCCCCAATGCGGCTCTTACCCTATTTTTGAGACACTCTGTATATAAATCAATGTCAAATATTGGAAGATCCCGTTAGTATATTCCGAGCACACATCGGCTGGAGTCTCTCTTTTCCGTTGTCCACACACAATCAGAAATTTTTATATCAAATTAGCCAAATTGATGATGTGGACTATCGAATTCCTCTTCATATATTGATACGTATGGAATATTACATTACAAATAATTTGCTTACCGCACTTTCGTCATCACAACACGCTGCGCAAGTGCAAGAAGTGGCGTGAGGCTTTAAAATTTGTTCGTCAATAAGAGTTTGCAAACTTCTTCCGCCAAATCGAATACTTCGTTTCCAATCTTTGCTGGATGCTCTACCGCAGAGAGCCTCAAACTCGCTAGGTGTGTACCAATCCGAGCCGAGTTTAATACATCGTCCCCTACCACCAGATCCGAATCTATTTTTGTGCAACTCCGCATTTGTGTTTTTACATCTGATAGGAAGCACTGCTAAATTTGCCGAATCTGACCAGTTATATATCGGTTGAGAACTGGGTGTGGATACATGTATTTGCTCTGATTCCGTTTCATCTGTGCTGTTCTGAATCACTATATGAGTCGCTTTCAGCTCACCATTCCAACGTAGAGGATCTGAATCTTTGTCATGACGTGATTCACAAATAAACCCGTTATCGACACATAGCATCTGCTTGAACTGTCCCGAACCTGGCAGCTAGAAATGAAAAATATGTCTAGGTACAATTTTGAACGACTTGGACTCGTCAAATGTAAATTCATTAGATTTTTGCCGAAAGTGAAAATTTGTTTTTAGTAAGTGCCTCTTAATTAGTGTTGTATTCAAATATATGTGTGTTCTCTTATAATTAAAACATATATTCATTGTTAAAAAAGCATTTTTACGAGAGATGTCTTGGTGAAACAATTGCTTTATTTTCTCGGAGTTATAAAATTTGAGTAAATAATATCATTATATATTTAATATAAAATATTTTCATTGCATTTTTTTTCTAAAGAATATAACCGACATACCTCCGATATCATTTTTCCATGTGTAAAAATGTCCCCACTTCAATCGCGCAAATAATTATATTTTTTGGAATGAATCAATATTACGTATTTTTTAAGTTCATATTTTCTTCTATTCAAAACATTACTTTTTATTTGTACCTTTTTTATCATAAAGATATAATTTAAAAAAAATTGATTATTACACTCTTTTCACAGATAGTAGTACTTAGTATTTTTTGGCATAATTTTTTCAATTATTATCAGAACATTTTTATATTTTGGTATTTTGATTCTATACATTCTGGCATTTTATTAAAAAAGAGAAAAAAATTTTCCATTGAGATTTATAATTATAGATCGAATCCAAAACGCCGTAAGTGACTTGGATCCAGACATGTAAATTAAGATTATTCTAAAATGAGACATATAGTTGAGGGTTAAGTATCTATCAAAGGAACATAAAGTGACATTTATGTTTCTATTTGTCTATTTCCCTAAAAGTTCCAGTATATTTCTCGATATTACTCTTTGTCGGAACAGAAATATAAGTTACCTGTTTTTATATAAGAGAAGTAAAATTAAAAGAAATAAAGGCAACAACAGAACATTCCTAGAAATTGTGATGCTTAAGTGGAGATGCTGTCATATTTTGTCTTTTGTTGGTTGTTTTGCTTTTTTTTAAATTTAGTTCAACATGAAAAAGAAGTCATTTTTAATTATAGATAACTGAATGTAGATAAAGTTTTGAATATGTCCATCGATAACTGTTGCATAAAAAAATTACTTTTTTCGAATATTCGAACAAGACCGGCGATTTTTCTAGAATGCATTTTCCAAATTGCGCCATCAATTTTGAGAAATTCGCAATTCAAAAGAACTACTTTTACATATTTCGACTTACTATTCATATTATAATTATGATATGTACCAAAGAAGATCGATATGTACCATATCGAAGAAGTTTTAATGCAATAAAAATTAAATTAAATAAAGATTATGCATTTCGCGGGTTTCCTCCGTGTCCAGATCCATTCTTGGAATGCCAACGTTTCGTGAACTTTGCAATCCACTTCATCAGGGCGAGGAATCTGATACTGAGCTGTTCCTTCGGGTCGTTCTTTTTATATTATGCTACTTGTTGGAGTGGTGGGGGGAAAAGAAAAGAATTGTAAGTGGGAAAAATTGGTCGGTCTTCAATAATCGGGAGAATGGTTTTCCATATTTCATTTATATTGTAGTCATTATCTCTATTTAGATTGTTAGGGTGTTTTTGTTCTATGGCTTCTCTATACTTTCTTGGAAAGTATGATGTAATATGATCGTTTTGTCAAATATTACTCGATGTTCTGTTTCGATATTGTGTTTTGATAATGCTGGCATGTTTTAGCCTGACATCATGTTAGTGTTTTTTTATCCGTAGATTGATCATTCTCCCGATTTCTCCAATGTATACTTATCTGCAGGAATAAAGTATTCTGTATATTCCTGCGAAGCTGAGTGGAAGTCTTTAATCTTTAGAATTCTTAAGAGTTGTCCTATCTTTTTAGGTAGTTTGAAGATAGTTCGGATATTATGTTTGTTTAATATCCTGTCAATCCGATTTGTTATTCCTTTGATATATGAGAGAATGGATAGGATCCTTTCGTCTGCTTGTCAGAGACCGTTGTTTATTGATTATTTTGGTTGTCTTTTTTGTCTATTTTTCTGTAAGATTAATTTTAGGTAGATAAGTTCTGTCTGTAGATGTTCTTTGTCAGAGATGGTGAAAGCTCTATGTACAAGTAAGTTGATTGCAGACTGTTTTTGTGCTGGGCGGTGGTGCGACTCGGCATGTAGATATCTATCTGTGTGTATTGGTTTTCTGTACACTCGATGCCTAAAGTACAGTCAACTTTCTTAGAGACAAGAATATCTAGGAAAAGGAGTTTTCCGTTTTCGTCTATGTCTATAGTGAAGTGGATATTTGGATGTTGATTGAGGAAAATAAGAAATTTACGGAGTTCGGCTCTGGCGTGTCTCCATATCACGAATGTGTGTCGTCTACATAACGGAACCAAACTTCTGGTTTTATGGGTATTTAGTTGAAGGTCTCTTTCTCAAAATGCTTCATGAAGATGTTGGCGATTACAGGAGAAATAGGAGAGCCCATTGCTGCTCCTGAAGTTTGCTCATAAAATTTGTTGTTATAGGAGAAGTAAGTGGTTGTTAAGCAATGCTCTATTAGCGAGATAAGGTCGGAGGGAACTTCAGGTGAGGCTTTTATTATGCTTAATATGTCTTTTATTATGTGAAAAGGGATTCTACGTCGAAATTTACAAGCAGGTCTGTGGGACGTAGTCGGATTTTTTAATCTTATGAAGTCCGTTGAAGTCCGTTGAGTTGGTTATGTGTAATTCGGATTTTCCAGTGAGGGGTTGTAGGGTGCTAGGAAGCAGGATAAGTTGTATGTCGGGGAGTATGGCGCTGACAATCGGTCTGAGGAGGATGTTTGGTTTGTGTACTTTTGGTAGCCCGTATAGTCTTGATAGGAGAAGATTTGTAGGTTTTATTTAATCTTGATTTTTTTTTTAATGTTGGTTTTACTCGGAATGTTTTTCTTCACTAGGATCTTGGTGTCCTGTACGATTATATAATATTAGTTGGATCTTTGTCAAATTTTTGTATGCTTTGTCCGAAAGAAGGTTCTTCATCTTTTTCTTATAGTCTGATGTGTTCATGACTATTGTCTTCATGACTGTTGCCTTTGTCGGCTGGAAGCATGATGATGTCTGTGTCCCTATTCAGGTCTTGAAGGCCCAATCGCTCTTGTCTAGTGATGTTTGGTGGAGAGAGTTTGGCTTTAGAAAGAATATTGGTTACCTGTCTGCGGATATTATCTGCTTGTTCTGATGAGAATCGGTAGATGGTTGGCTCTATTTGGCTGATAATCTCTTTTAGAATTTTTCTAGGTGTCACTGCGAAATTAAGGCCTTTGGCAAGCGCAGATATAGTATCTTGAGATGGGTCTTTGTTGGATAAGTTCTTGACGTTAAGTAGAGAAGGTTGTGGATTTTTGTGAGGGACAAAGTTTATAAGTATTTCTGTTTCTGTCTTTCAGAGGATTGTGTGTGGATCTTTGTGGCTTGTTCGTATGTAATACGATCTAGGATTTGCCAGATATCATGCGGCAACGTGGCGGATAGGAATAGATGGAGTTTAAAGGTACGAATAAAAGAACACTACAACGTGATGTCACAGACTAAAACACACCACGCAGTTAGCATTATCAGAACACAATCGAAACAATAGAACAACATCGAAACAATAGAACATCGAATACTGTTTGACAAAACGACAATATTCAACACAATAGTCAACATTACATCATACTTTCAAAAAAATTATAGAGAAGCCATAGAGAAAAAAACATCCTAATAATCTAAATAGAGATAATGGCTACAACATAAATAAAATATGGAAAATCATTTTTTCCCGGTTATTGAAGACCGACCAATTTCCCCCACCTCTCCCCTCGCCCCACTTACAATTCTCTTGACAATCTAAGAATGGATTTGGGCGGAGGAAACCCGCGAAACGCATCAATAAATATTAATATTTATATTAATATTAATATTAAAATATTATTTAATATAATGGATGTTAAAACTTAAAAAATGTCAATTGTTATAAAAATTTATATCTATAGATCTTTCATGATTTTAAATTTGTCAAATTTGCTATCGAATTCGTATGCAATCTAAAAAAAAAACTTAAGTTTAAATGAATATAATTGAAAACTTTAGAAATTCGTCAATAATCTAATTCAGTACTCGGAATTAATCAGAATATATTTAACTAAAATTTAGTTAAATAAATCTAAAGAAACTATTTGAAAAACGTATCAATAATAGTATTTTCAAGATAATATGGAAAGTCATTGTCCACATTATAATTATCATATTGTAATTTTTAATTATATATTATTGCAGACTACAATATGTTAATGATAAAATATGTTAATAATAAAAAATTTATTTTAATTATTTATTTTATTATTTATTAAAATAAAAATCATGTGGGAAAGAAAATATTTTAATATTTGCCGGAAGATATGCTCCCAGCATATTTTTGTATCGCGACGCTCCTGGAGCACAGCGTCACGTGAGTGATCGGCGGCTCG